AATACTTTTTCTAACTCTAATTTAATTCTACTTTGTTTTCACTGTGTGTCTTAATGTTCCAATTTATTTATTAAATAAATTGAAATTATAAATTTACATAGAACTAAAGGACATTTAATAGTCTATAATACAATGTAATGAAAATAAAGATGAAAAATGACATAACTGTATTTATGAAATTGAGAATTCTTGGAAAAAATAGTCTCTACCGTTTTCCATACATAATACTTTTTTTTTAATAATAAATTTTGTTGTATCATTTTCTTTGTAATATAAGTATTTTTATTCATGTTAGATGTGAATTAATAATTTAAACTTTATATAACACAGTGTTAATATAATAATAACTCTGCTAATATTTACCGTAATTAGACTGCTTCCAAGACAAACCAACCAACCCCAGCCACCATCTGGAGCTTGTTTTTTAATATCATTTTTTTTGTTTTCTGTCATCATCCACGAAATGATTTCTCGATTTACTATAAATTATTAACGTTAAAAAGTACTATCGAAAGCTAAATTGCCAATAATCGTCTATAAATCACATTGTCATATGAACACTTTCTAATCGATACCGCTTACTAACCGCTAATCAAATACGTTTGTCACTACTGTGTGACTTTCTGTTTCAAACTAAACATCAAATACGTTGTCTATTTATTTCTCTTCACTTGACTCTTGTGGAAAAATATACTGATCAAGCGGGGGATTTAGAACGAATAATCGTTGTGTGTGTAGTCGATCAAATCATATATTTGAAACTATACAAAGCGATGAATAATATATATAACAAGCATGTTACGTAACATCAGGGACAAATTATTTTGACATTCAGTAAATTGAAGTAATTATATGACACGCAAGGCGTAATCAGATCAAACTTGGCAAATATGCTGAGCAAAAAAGTATCTATTGTGTCATATGTCCAAAAAAGTACACATAATTTGCGAAATAAATTTTCTTTAATATTGATATCTTTAATTACAAGTAAGATGTACATTATTATTTGTTTGATATTCTACTCTACATTATCTAGAGTGAAAGATAACATATGTGCAAGATTATAAGTTGTGCAATAAATAAGTTTTATCAAATAATAATAATGTAACAACTATTTAAGTAGTAAGATGATATCAAATGACGTCTTTTATATCAATAAGACATTATTAAAACGTCATTTTGCTATTTGAATATATGTATATGAATTAACATTATATTATTACTTTTTATTACTTTTTATATTATTATTTAGGTATGTGTCATAATGTCGTAATTTTCAATGTCTCTACAGAAATTAACTAAATACTAAATTATACTTGATGCAAGATATATAAATAATAATGCAATAAAACTTACTGTTAATCATAAAAAATTGATTTTTCTATAAACTTTTTCGACTATTTCTTGTACCGTTTCGTACATTACTCACGCTTTACTTATTTCTTAGTCAGCACAAACATTTCTACGACTTGTCAGAGCAAGTAATCTGAGACGGCTATAATTGGCAAATAATTGTTAACGTCAGTGTCCACTGTGGTCACAATCGAATCGTTTGCAGTACTGGTCGATCTTCGTTGGTTGGACGTTTTATCTGTGTCCATATTGCATATACATGTAGATAGCACTCAAGAGGCGATAGG